TCCAATAATCAAACCTGCATAGGATATGTAAACTTATCTTAGTAAGCAGCGTCAAGCAACTATCAAGCATGTGTTAGCCAAAAATATTGAAAGGTATATCCATTGTAGATGCACCACGTGGATAACAAGTAGACCTAGACATGTCAAAGATGAATCCAATTGATGAACATCTCCTATCAGTAGTCTAACCTATGAATGACGCATGTTAGCCTCAGTGAATTTCAACTTTCTTAAAATATCAGAAAAGAAGAAGAAGAAGATCGAGTCTGCAATCAATCGACTAGGTGCTGCGTACATCAAATTTATTAACATCAAGAATCAATCTCAATAAAATTAATATGTAGCAATTCATGGGAGAATGAAGCTAGAGGAAACTAACCTCACAAATATAGGTCCCTTTGTATTCATGATTAAACTACCTCCCAAACCAGGGAGAAAAAATTAGCTTAATACAGAGAGACACTTCGCCGAGGTCAACCAAAAGACTGAAATCTGCAAAGGCCAAATTCAAGTTAGAACTCTCTCCGCGGAAACTTCCGAGTTAGTCCACAAAAGACAGACAATTTGATGACAATATATGGATGACTTGCATTAAATATTAAATTATCAAGTTAGCGCATAAAAGTCAAGAAATCATCACCCTTCCCCACACCCGCTTATGGCAGAAAAAAAATCAAATAACAATATAGGACCGGAAACTCATGGAATTGAGATTGATCAAATAAAACGGTAGAGTCAAAGAGAAGCTAGAATCATCAGAATGAATATAGGAAGCTCAGCAATTCAGCATCAGGTAAGCTGGCAGACAGGGTTAAGAATAAACAAGCTTATGTTGTTCATTCAACCTAAAGGATTCGACTTCCACTTTTCTCAAACGGAGAGGTGGCAGTCACCAGCAATTCAAGCATGATCACTTCACAAAAGAAAACAGAAACAAACCAAGACAAAGGATAATAAAATAAACATGGCGCTGCTCTTTGTCTCTAAGAAAGTTAACAACTTGCAGAAAAGATCAAACTAGAAAACGGATTACAAGTTTGCACTAGGAAAAGGAATGGCAAACAAACCTTACATATGGCGGGAATGAATGAATAGGGTAGCGTATTCTTTCCCAAGTGAATTCTCTTTTCCCGCCCTTTCTGGGGAACCAAACGGGAGGGAATGCAGAGAGCACAAGAGCTACATGCAGCAAGCCTTGCGAGGAAACTGATGGCAACTTTTGGAGGGACAGAGATAAAGGAGACGGAGAAGGAGAAGGAGACCGAGCCAACGCTGTGAGAACAGTCAAAGACGTCCTTCTTCCTCCGAAGTGAGACAACGGCCAATGAAAATGCAAACGTCATTGACTAAAGCTTTCAAAATCAAATCCGTAACATGATAACGTCACACCGGTTTAAGTTTCCTGGCAATGTTTTCTTTGAATTTGAATATTTAGATGTCTTGAATTGAGGTGCAAAATAAAGTTAAAAAAATAGAAATAATGACAAATAAATTTTTTAAATAAAAAAAATAATAAATAAATTTAGGCTTATTATTTTTAATAACGGATAAAATATTTTTTTTATTTTAAAATTTATTGACTTAAAAATTTTTAAAAATTTTAATAAAATTATAATATTTTTGGGAAATTAATTTATTATTTATATAATTTATGTTGATTTTATTAAAAAATTTTCATTGGGCTATTTATCTTGACATTGCTCCTCAGTACGTCAGGGGTCTTGTGATTTTTTTTTTTTGGGTACATTGGGGTCTTGTGATTAATAACGCTGTGGGATCTTTATCCCCGCTAGTGTAACGGGTAGTATGCAATGGGCTGTGCCCACTCTCTTTATATCCCAAAATCAAAAACAAAAAATCAAATATCAGTGGCTGTGATCTTCCAAGAATACATCTCATTTCAAATAAATATTTCCTTATTAAAGAGACATCAAAAATCTCAAGTGCAAGTAGGTAGAGCTTTTAATTAGGGTCGATCCTATAAACCAGCCTTTTTAAGCCTAAAAAAATTAAGGGCCGAGTCGCCACTTCGGTCTTTAAAAAGGTAAATTGAGCTCAAAAAAAAAATAGCCCTTTTAAGTCTAAAAAAAAAACCAGCCCTTTAGGGTCGGGGTTAATCCTTTTAAGCCCTAATATATTTTAAAAAATATAAAAATATATATAAAAAAAGAAGACACCACATCACTCACTCTCTAGTTTAGACAGTAGACACGCACGTTATTATTTGTTTACTTTGAATATTTTTGCATTCTTTAAATAACTTGAAATTATAATTTTGGTTTATTATTTATTGCAAATAATGAGGATGAAAAAGGAAGACATGAAAAGGTTAACATATTTGCCATTGATGAGGATCCACAAGGAAATGATTAAATTATATTGATATTGATGATGATAAAAATAATCAAAATTTAACTGATGATGCTACCGACGTGTAATGGATGTCGGAGTTAATTTTAAAAATGTTATTTTTTTATTAAACTTAAAATTTTTGTTAAGTGAATTGATTTTATTTTTTTTTTAATTATTTTAACTAGAAAAATTTTTAAATTAAAAATTAAAAAAATAAATAGAGCCAAGGCCCTGAGGGCTGGCCTTAAGCCTTAGGTTAAGGCCGAGCTGATAAAAATAGAACCTTAAAATATAATTAATTTAAAAGGGTCAGCCTGTTTAGACCCTGACCCTTGAAAGGTTGGCCCTGTAGGGCCGAGTTGGCCTTAATTAACATTTTACATGCAGGAAGAAAAAGAAATCACAACTCCCTTCTCAAATATCAAATTTTGTATCGTATAAAATAATATTATCCTAGGCCTTGTTAGTATAACAAAATAGAAATTGAACTAGTGTAAAAACAAGAGAGAATGATAGATAAATCTTTCTAAAATAAAAAAATAACAATTTGATTTAGCCAAATGTGATAATAACAGTGAGGTTTTAAGAGACTTTTTCTGATATTAAAGTTCTGTGTGAAATTTCTTTAGTATCTAATTGTAACTAATTTTATATAATTTACAAGTTTGATATAAATATTTACAAGTTTAATTTTAATCCAATTTCATCAAATTAACCTTCAACTTTTGCCCAACTGTTTGAAAATGTCATTTTTAAATCGTCCAACCTCAGTCCTTCTAAGAACTACCTCCTCCCACAACAATAACAGTGCCTCAAACTCTTCAATTATTCCAGCCTCTACATACTTCTTTGACTTTTCATAGGGATGGAAGTGATGGATAATTTGAAAAACTAACATGTTTGCTAGAAGAAGAAATTGTTTTAAACATAAAAGGTTGAAACTGGACGATTTTAAATATGAAACACTCAAATTGTTGGGATAAAAGTTAGAGGCCAAGTTTCCTAAAAAGGTGAAATCACACATCAAGTCAATCACAAGGAGGCTTAAAATCGAGCATAACAATATACATGAAAAACAAGTGAAATTGAATAGGTTGATCTGAATAAGAATATTTCAGTTGGAAATAATGATGTTTGGATGATTACATCTAAGCACACAAGATTCTCCAACTTTTTACAGAGCTGTGTTCTTGTCTTCTTTTACCATACGTCTAATTAAGTAATGCAATTATTTCATTTGTTTATATCTATTCAGAAAAATGCAAGCTTTAGGAACTACAGAGTCAAAACATTTCTTTACTATTCTTGTTATCCTGTCAATAATATTTGAAAAAGATTGTTAGCAGAAAGAGTATTCCATAAAAATATTTTTTGAATAATGATAACATTCATGATGCCACTCGATCGATGTCTGTCAACCAAAATATGAAGAAGCGACAATTGGCCACTTTGAGAGTTGGCATAAAAGCAAGAAGACGCAAGGAAAATATCCATTTGCTGCTAGTATAGACAAGTTTATTGAAAAACTTGTGGAAATTGCCGAAGGATTTGCTGCTGCATAAATGTCATGGTTAAAACTGTCAAGTCCAAGGCTCAAGGTGTTAAGTCTATAATTGAATTTGCAGAAGTTGTGTCAGACTTTAATGATGATTCAGAAGCAACTATGAATTGGTGACATCAGCTGACCTTGCACTTAGGATATGTTTGGTTGGGAAATGTCCCTCTCTTCATTTGGTTGAGATATTTAGAAGTGAGGAGAGCCAAAAATTTCCCCGTCCTTCCTCTTATTTTGGTCCCCCTTAAGTTGGGGGTTTTTGAAGAGGAGCCAAATTTATTAACTAATCTACCCTCAATAATTTTGCCATATTCCATGACTGAGTGTAATTAAAAACAAAAAAAAAAAAGTCGATCACCTCCTTCAACGTTCTCTGATCTCTCCCTCTTCCACCATTGCTTCTTGGCTCTCTTCCTCCATCATTGTTCCCTCTCCCTAGGTCCCTTGCCTGCCTTGCACAGCCTTCTAATGCCCCTCATCTCCGCCACTATTGTAGCCGGAATTTTCCTCTCCGTTGCTACCAAGATCCAAGACACCCATTGATGCTACGTAAGTTAGCTTTCTCCCAGTGTTCAACCACTCCATCTACTCGTTCACGTCCTTCCTGTGGCTGGAGTTTTTGCTGTCCTTTCAAGTCCTAGTGATTATGCTCCTACTATGGTTACCAATTCTGGGCAAGAATTCTCAATGTTTCGCTGGGCTGCAATTGCTCTCTCACATGGGGTGTTTATGCTTCTCTTCTAAAAATATATCATTTTTTAATATGAATTTATATAATTTTTTTAAACAAAAACACATATCAATTTTTTAATACATATATAAAAAATAAATTAAGAATAGGGTAATTTTTTTAGAAATTATGCAATTTGTGTTTAGATATGAAATAGATGTATATAAGAGACAGTAAAAAATAAAAATAAAATCTTTCCATGCAAGGACATAATAATAAATTAATCATTAAAACCCCTTCCCTTCTCTTGAACCAAACAAAAAATCATTAAAAATCCTTCCCTCCTGCTTCAACCAAACACAACCTTAAAGAGAGCAACAAGGCTGATTGTTTCCTCATACAGAGCCGCAGCCTAGTGGGAGATTCAAGATAAACATAGGGCTAGCTTCAAAAAAGATTTGCTTGAGCATTGAGAATTTGTTTCCAGATACTGAATACATATGAACTATGATGATTCCCATCAGATATTAGCGATCTTTAGTCTTGGCATGCATTTCCACCCAATTCCGCATGCATTTCCACCCAATTCCAGGCTTGACTAAAACAAAATGCTACTGCTTTGCCGCATCGCAGAATGAATATAGTTAATAATATTAAAGCCATCAGTCATGCATCTAAGGTCCAATAACTATAACATACCAAACATCGAAGTACATGAAAATGGCTTTTATTTAGCCATATGATTGCTCGAATTCAACATAACCAGAATAACCCAAAAGAGGAAAAGCTAGGGCCGGCAATAAAATGACTGCAACTTACAGTAACCATCATTTTTTTCAAAATAGCCGTACATCTTTCTCACAGACCCCTGCCAAGTTCCGACAGAAAATAAGAATGCAGAAATATACATAGAAATGGAAGTAGAATACATACTTAACATTTATGAAAACCACAAAGATCATATGAGAAAACCATTTTAAACAAAAGGAATGAAAATAAAATGAGATATTCACAAAAGCAACCAGTAAAGTTCATATATATGCATTCTCTATGCCACTTAATGTTATCCTAATTTCCATTATTCAGAATTCAAAGAATAACAACCAGGCAAACCTCCGTAAATTTTGACCAAAGTATAAATTAAGAAGCGGCGCAAGAAGCTGAATGCTTCCACTTCAATATCTAATTTTTTTTTTAAGTCAAAATTTATCAGTAGTTTGAAAGATATCCCTAGTATCTTAACCACGCAGTTCCAGCTTCGAATGAGATTATCATCATTTTCAAAACCAGAATTAACTGGTTCGAATAGTAACAAATGAAAGCATACAATTTTCATGGGCACATAACCTGGGGCAGAATTATTTCCCAGTTTAACCAAATTGCAGAAAAAAATGAAGCAACATGATTAAGATATCTTTGTTATTCAATTTATTGTCTCTAAGGAAACAATAACTAAAATATCATTAAAAAAATATGTATGGTATTCTATTGTTGACATTTTATAACCGGGGAAAATTTTAGATTATAGTAAACAAGATATCATTGTTTAATAAAATCTTTTGAACCCCACCAGGATCTATGCCAAAATCATATATTTAAGGATTGCTTAACAACAATACGGAAGAAGGCAATTCCCGAGTCGAGGTGATACATTACATTATGCCATAATGTTATTTCTGAGACAAGTATTTGTCTATTTGATATAAGCGTCTAATTACCTGACTTTCTTGAGCAGAATGGCCTTAAGTTTGCGAGCAAGGTCCTGTGATCGAATTTTTTGCTCCAATCTCTTCCGGGCCAAAACACGCTTCTCAGAGTTCTTGATATGGTGTCTCTGTACCTGTTTTATCATGCGCTCCATCCCACTTGATTGCATCGTGCGCTGCATAAGTGTCAGTGCCTTGTCCAAGTCCCCATTTAGAACCATCACTCGTATTCCCCTGCATTGCTGAAGCTGCTGCAGCTGATGGCACCCGTTACTAAGCGGCTCCACAGTCCTAAGTGGCTGTCTTAGAAGGCGTGATACATGCCGTACAATTGAGCTCATATCTAGGGAAAACTCCGTGCAATTGAGTAACCTTGTTATCAAGAACCGGATAATCAAAATAAAAACAAAAAATCCATAGGCTGACCTATACTACACTCTTTTGAAATATGCATAATTGGTATAGACCCTTCAATTTTTGTTCCAGATACTCCGACACAACTCGAGCTAAGTTACAAGATCATGCATTACAAATACCTTGAAAATTTTCCAAACTTGATGATAATATAAGAAGATTAAAAATAAACAGAATGCCAATATACAACAAATCCATCATTGCAAAATAAGACAATCAAAATTATACAAGTCGCTAGTAATCAAGATGAAGAGGGAAGACGTATAGTATAATAGCCAATTACACCCCATTCAAGCAAAAACGAGTGGAAAAAAACAATTAAGATGTAAATATTTTCAAATTCAAAAGCGTCAATGTTCGAAAGATTACACGACCAGATTCAAAGCCAGATTAAAGCAAATCCAGAACAGCCACGCCCGGAACAAATTCAAATCTAGATTCAAAGCCAAATTGAATAAATCAATCTCACCAGATTTTGGAAGTAGAAAAAGCCCTAAGGGTTAGAACCCTCTTCAGTGCTTGCCAGAGTATAACCACGCAGGGCTGACAACGGTGGACGGCGGCCAACGAAGCGTGGAGTGTTTGTTCGTCGAGGAAGAGAAATGGATCAAGCGACTCCCGAGAATGTGTTTTTATTGGGGTTATAATTAACTTTAGGATGGATTCGGCGTTAGCCGAAAATTAATAGCAAAATTAATTACTCAAATAATAAAATTTATTTTGTTAATTTATACCTATAATTTTTTATATAATTATTCATTTTCTTTTTTATAATAAAATCCTATATATCAAATAGTGTTAAAAAACTTTTATATTAAGCAGTAAGATTTTTTTTTTTACCAAGATCTGATTTATGCTTTTAGAGATTTGATATATTTTCATTTTTGTTCATTCTCATTTTATTTATCTTCTTGCACTCATTTTTTCAAATTTTCAGCTAAATAATTAAAAAGTAAATTAAACAAAAGAAGTAACATGTAAAAACATATTTTAACATATTGATCTTAACATAATTACACACGCACGCATATTATCTATAGGACTAACAAAATGAGTATGAATTTTAAATCTAATTCAAATAAACAAATAATAAAATAGGACTAACAAATAAGATAATTATTTTGAAGTACATAAGGACTTATTTGACATTAATTTTTTTCATGAAATAAACATAAGAAAATTATTTTAAAAGTTCTTAAAGATTTATATAACATTTTGAAGTCTTTAAGGACTATTTCCATTTCCCACTTTCATTTAACAAGTGTTAAGAAATGAAAGTAATAATTTCCCACACAATTTTAAGTACTCCCTTAATAAAAGTAATCATTTAGTACTCTTAAATTGTCATTTACTTTTAGGATTCAACACTTATAAAATAACATTGAAAAATAAAATTAATCATTTCTTATATTATTTTAGCTACTCACTGAATGAAAATAGTCATTTGTTATTCTAAAGTTATTATTTATCTTTGAAGGCATTATATTTATTTTGTAAAAAAATTAATGTTAAATAAGTCTCTGAAAACTTCAAAATGATTATTTCATTTTATGGTTCTATTTCTTCATTTGGTTATTTGAGTGAAATTTATTTGTCACTCTTTCTTATTTACCTTGTACATTATCCAAGAAAAAATCTATCTTCACATTAAGAGAAGAAAAGAAATTGCATTCCAATAAAATATAAGAGAGATTAAAAATTAATAAGACAAAAAAAAAAAAAAAGATGTGAGTTGTGATTCTTATAAATAGTAAGACTCAAAATAAAGGGGTAAGAAGTTCGGCTCAGCCGAAGGCAGAATAAAAATAATAATAATAATAAAAGCCACATTACGTAAAATGAAGTACGAATTAATTCCTAAATTGCTTTTGTCAACCTGAAGTATGATTTTTTTTTTTCCCGACCAAACAAACAAAGTTTATTAATCACAAAAAAACAACAACAATCACCAATAGCTGAAGTACGAATTGGGACATTTCCAAAAGTGATTTAATTCCTTTGATGCAATAAGCACTCTATTCCTGCTTTTTGTGTTATAAAATAAACTTGGGTAAAACAGTAAAAATACTCATAAAGTAGTCGACAACGGGCATCAGTATTCTAAAGTGATGAAAAATATAAAAATATCCATAACGTTATATAGATGAGTGCAAAAGTAATCAGACCGTTAACTTTGACTTAACACCGTTAACTTCGACCGTTAAATGCTTACTGAGCATGACGCATATCAGTCTTTGCTGATGTGGACTAAAAAAATGATAAAAATACCTACAAAGTCATTGGCCAGGAGTAAAAAGACCCATAACGTTATCAAAATTGGTGTAAAAGTGATTAACACATCTAATCCCTTAAATATTGACTATTTAGCTAACATCCAAGCAAAAGTTGACTATTTTTTTACTGATGTAGATAAAAAATATTCCTAGATGAAATTTTCTGAAAGTTAATTGGTTATTGTATGAATATTATGTGAGAAAATATCATTTTGACTAAATATCAAATTAAATTATTTTTTTTACAACAGTGGCGAAAATCATTTAAAAATTGTGAATCTATCGTGAATGCAATTGCTTAAGGTTGTGACAATGTTCTTAAGTTAGATGTGCTCAGTTTTGATTTTTGATTTTGAACAACCTATCTCACTATATTAAATCTCAAGTTTTACATACAAGAAAAATGAGTGGATAGGGAGAAAGAAAGGGGATGAGATATATGGTGATAGAAAGAAAACGTATGGCATTGATTTTAACAGATTGGTCACTATTGCACCTATTGAAGTAACATTATATGTACTCATATAATGATCGATCAATATTCATAAAAATTTTTTTTGAAATATTTTTTGTCTACATCAGTAAAAAATAGTTAACTTCTGCTTAGGTGTCAACTAAACAGTTAACATTTAAAGAATTGAATGTATTGATTACTTTTGCACCAATCCTGATAACATTATGGGTATTTTTGCTCCTGACTAATGACTTCGTGGGTATTTTTGCTCTCTTTTTTAGTCCATGTCAGTAAAGACTGACACGTGGCATGCATCGTCAACATTTAACAGTCAAAGTTAACGATGTTAAGTCAAAGTTAGTAGTCTGGTTACTTTTGCACCCATCCATATAACGTTATGGATATTTTTGCCCTTTTAATTATTTTAGGATACTAGGTGCTCGTCACTGATTATTTTGTGGGTATTTTTGCCCCTTTATCCAATAAGGTTAAATGACAAATTTATCATTAAACTATAAGCTTAATATCTAAAACCTTAAATTATATTTAGTATTACTCTCTCTTCAAAAATGCAAGATTTTTTTTTTAAAGAGTTAAATGTTTAAAAATATAAGACATTTTTAGTCTTTTAAAATATAATTATTATCTTTTTTAAAAGTGCCCCTATTGATAATAATTTTATATTTATTATAGGGTTGTTTAATAGAAAAGATAGGATTAATTTAAAAATAAATAACTACTTTATTGAATGGTGAGATTTATTTAAAAATGTCTTATATTTTTGAACGAATAGAACATGCTTTTTTTTACTTTTGAAATTTTTGAAAACAATACGATATTAATTAAAGTTAACTTTTATTAATTTTCTTAATTCCTTTTTGTAATTTTTGAAATACTTTTATGAAATTTTTAATCAATTAATGATTAAAATTAACTTTTATTAAAGATGAGATGCAAAAGTTGAATAGGAACATTGCACCAAAAATAAATTTAAATTTCCAAATGCTATTAGATCTTAATTTAAAAGTAAAATTATACTTTAACCCTATAAATTACTTCCTTTATCTCAAATAATAAAACACTTTTAGACAAAATATCACATATCAATAAACCTTATTAAACACACTTAATAACTTTATTTTTTCAAAAAAATATAAATTTTTAAAAATACTCATCATTTAATATATTGAAAAGAGAAGAGATGAAACTTAATTATAAAGAGAGAAAGGATAATATTGAAATTAATGCATTTAATGAAATCTTAATTTATGCAAACTATATTCTATTTTGGGATGAAGAAACTCCTTCAAGAGTGCCTAATAATTTGAGACAAACAGAGTATAATATTTGGCTAAAAGAAGTACGGAACAAATTAGTGACGTTGAGGCTGAAACATATTAAATACGCTAATCATACAGACACCCCCCACAAAGCAAAACATAAGCACTAGTTCAAGCCACTAGAAATTTTAATAGATCCACTGACAAATACATTTTATCTCCAAGCAAAAAGATTTTCACTGAAAAATGAAAGTACAATCCATTCTCATCAATTATTGAAAGCAAGATTTTGTTGTATTAGGATCACATCAACCATTTCACCAACAACTATCCAGCCAATATAAATATAAAATCCGAAAGCATGAATTACGTCCCCAACAAAGTCACCGACTCCTTTTATTGTAACAGTTATCCTAAAAGAATCCTAAACGCTGCAGCTACCAGCAACAATGACATTTTCTATCTGCATGCCAATGATATGGAGCAGCCTGCCTAAAATTTGGCCACACAGCCTGTATGCCAATGAAAACTAGATGATGCTTACTCATCCTAATTTCGCCTAAGCTAAGAATTTGATGTGACACAAGTTGCCTCACCTTATTCTTTAAGATTTCTCGTCATCTGACTGAGAGCATGGAGGATCAGAGTTAACGAAGAAGTCATCCACTGAAATAGAAACAGATAATGCTGTTACAAACGAAAACCGAATCTTAACTAAAGAAGTAATAACTAATAATAACTAATAACACAATGGTTATCTTTTAGACATTAAAAAAAAAAAATTCTATGCAATTGCCATTACCTATATCCTGTTGATCTGGAGATTCCAGCAACATGTCTGAATCAGATGGCAAAAATGGTGAACCTGGATAGTTTCCCAGGGCTCCTAGATCTGCAACAATTTGAGATAATTCATATTTAAAGAAAGGTGTGCCTAGAGGGTAAACATTAGTAAACACTGCTATAGTATCCTTGACAACTGTTTAAGAGATTCACCGTAAAAAGAGATTATTCATGTATTAAATATCAATTTGGAATTCACAACATTTAAATCATCAATAATAAAATCAGAAAGGACAAGATTTAGGAACGGTTTTTAAGATGGCTACAGTCAGATTTTTTAAAATAAAAAAATGACAAGTGAATTTGTTTTACAACTCACTATCATATGAATTTTCCAGTCAAAAAATATATGTATTTCAAGACATTTCTCTACATTATTTTTTGTTCAATGAACCTGAGAGCAATACCTATGGAGTTTACCTAAGTCTTGTTCAATCAGAAAATATTAATGTCGTGGCCTGAATAATAGATATATCTGGTATTCAGACTTCATAGGTAATGACCTTCAGCGCTCAGATGTGAGATGACTGTCTAAAATAATTGTACGAAAACAAATCTCCTTAATTAAGGATGAGACTAAGTGACCAACTATGGCTATAACAAAGCCCAAACTCAATGCGAAATACTTGATAAAACCTCACTCCTATTCTCCTAGAAGTTTGCCAACAAAAAGTCAAATATATCTATCAAAAAATATATCATACAAAATACCTCCCAAATTTGACAAATCAGCTGTTAGATCAGATAGACTAAAATTCCACGGAATTTGTTCCAGTGATCTGGAAATTCCATTGCTGCCGTCAGGTGTGAGTTGCATCCCAACTGAACTTGCCACGTCAGCTGTAAACGCTGTGTCCAGAGCTGATGCATCTGTGCCCATTCCTGATATTTCTGATGCGGTGAAGGGAAAGTGACCGCTGGATGCCACTGATGTAGGACTCACCGCCATTTCTGTCATGCTACTATTTGGCGGAATAACAGGAGCAATGTCTGGAGCACCATGTTCCATCACCATCCTTCAACAACAAAAAAACCAGCTGCCGTTAGCAGAATTTCTATCAAGCAAAATACTTCAAACACAGAAGTAAGAAGTTATTCCACATTGTATTTAATTGAAGGGATGTACAAGCCCATTACAGCCAAAATCTAAGCACGGCATGCATTATGCGGAAAGACATCAAACATACATAACAATAACAACAAAGTGTTTGAGCTATTGTAGTTTTGAAAGATATAGCTTTTTATATCGCAGGCAATGATATTTTAAATAGCCTTCAAAGAATGACCATAACCAATTTAACAAACTATTCGAAACAAGTTTCAGTTACACCACTTTAATTGATCAAGCCAATTGTAACTTCTGCACAATACAGCAACCATTTCTACATTAATAACAAACTGAAATAGGAAAAAAAGCCACGGAATATCATCTTAAAAAACTCATCAAGCCAAAAGAAGGCAGTTAGCAGCACTCTTGTCCAATAAATGACTAAAAGAAAAGGTACAGTTAGATAAGTTCTCACTCATTCCCGGAATTCATTCGAATGGGATGAAAATTGCTTGGTGCAGGGACTCCATTGACCACATGACAACTTGATATGCCCATTGAGTCAAGATGTGGTTGACCTGCTGCTGGCATGTGAGGTTGCTGTAGAACAGGGTATCCCATAGGTAGGTTGTTGACTGCACTGCAAACAAGTGGTGTTCAGGAATAATGGGAGGCAAAACAGAAAAATATAAGGAACAAGGTGAGCAGAATATGCAACTATATTCCTGAAGACAGAAAATATGTGCAACAAACTCAAAATGTTCTCATGTCAAGCAATAATATGGAGAAACAAACTCCCAGATCTCCACAAATGTCAATTTCAAATCAAAATTTGATCAATGTTCAGTAATACTAAGCCCCAACATAAGTTTCAGATTCATATCTAACTACCTCACCATTTTTCCCTTTTTTTTTTTAAACTGACTTAAAAGTTCAACATATTCAAATCTAAAGCCAATAAGAATACCTTTATAACGAAGACATGCTAAAGACCATCACTGGATGCCTATTGAAATCTAAATTAGATTGAATAGTCTGTTTTAGCAGCTATACCAAGAATTTCCAAAGAATCGTGACTTTAAACTTTTAACAGATATCTATTATCGCCAATCTCTTATATCACACATGAGAAATAAATCCTAGAATAACGTATTCATTTAGTATTAACACATTGCTGCATTACAACAGGACATTCTAAGGCTATTCAATATGCAAGGACATACACAAACTAATGATATTTTAAGTCATCATTGGGTTAAATGAAAATCCAAGAACTCTGAAACTGCTCCACGTTTGTCTTCCCTATGCTAAAATGGAAGGACACATCAATTCAGACACTCGCCATGAAAGCCACAGCCTGATCCAATCGTTGACTAAAAAGCTAAAAGTGTTGTTGGGAGCATAATCGTGTGACTAGAAGAGCTATACCATAACATAGGAAACAAAATTTAAGTTCCATCATGTCACAGTTCACGTTTAGTGCATAGCCATACAAAGAGGTGGAGATAACTCAGGTTTAATTTTCACTTTATAATTGACATGAGAGCTTACCAGGCATTGGATGGATTCCATTCTGAATCGGAGCCAATGGAACCTTTGGAGGCATGGGATACTTCATCATATGATACTGGTGCTCAAGCAAATGATTGAAAAGGAGTATTTGCTTTTTCAATTTTAACCTGATATAATAGGCCCTAAAAAAATCAGCATTCTCTTCCTCCAACTTCTGCCACACTGAATCAACAAAGATGCTTCAATTAGAAAGCAAAGGAAAATAAGAATAACCACCCTTGTATTCCTACAGTTCGATAGAATGTAAGTACGGTCAAGGTTGTTTGTTAATCTTTTTCAATAATAATAATGTTTTAGTTATCACTGTATTAACAATAAAAAAATGGAAAATCATTACTTTATTAAGGATACAAGGTTTCTTTTATGGACAACTTACACAATATATTTTTTAGTATTAGAACACAACACAGAGATCATCACAAAGATTTCAAGATGAATGGAAAATCATTATTTTATTAAGGATACAAGGTTTCTTTTATGGACATTTACACAACATATTTTTTAGTATTAGAACACAACACAGAGATCACCACAAAGATTTCAAGATGCTTACCTAGAGTCGTAAATCCTGGATCTATCCTTGCCCGAGTCAAAAGTGTTTTAACCACCTCATCTTTATTCATATACAGCTGTAAGCACCTTTCTATTAAATTCTGGACCTATAAAGGTAGTTTAAATAATTAATCAAAAGAGAAAAGAAACAAATCAGTCCAGATCAGCCTTTATAAATTATCTATCCTGCAAAACCAAATATAAGAAAGAAATAAATCAATTGGAAAAACTACAGTATTAAGCAAATCTAGTCAAATTTTTAACAAATGAGCTGCCTTACAAGCTCAATATCCTGCCGTGACACTTTTTTGCTGTCATTGCTGGAAGCAGAAACTGAACCAGAGTCCGTAACAGGAGCATCAGCTGGGTGATTGTTTGGTTGGTCACTCTGGGACTCAAGAGAAGCTTGAGTTGAGGACTGTATTTCTTGAGAGCTCTGAATCAATAAAAGCAATATTTACTCCAATAAAGAAACATGCAGGAAGCAGGTGTTAAGAGTCAAATGTGGAAAAGACAGGCACATGTTACATCACCGTAAAAGTAGAAAGTATGTTTATATTCTATAATTGGATACCAAGAGGCTAAAATATTAATGAATTTCCAAAAGCATTCAATACGTCCGTACTAGTTCATCAAACAAAGGACTAATTCACATTAGACAAAATGCAGTCTGTAAAGCTTCAAAGTGCTTTGTGTGGAAATAATGGATAATGCCTCTTATCATACTATATCTTGGCTAGTTCTACTGAGAAAATCATATCAACAGCATTAGTAGACTGTCATGCCAAATTCCATCTAGTTAGCTTCCTCCCCTATAACTACTAGATTCAGAGGACAGCCATATTTTGACAGCTACATGCATACGCCATCCAATTTTTTTCTAGCGGTGAGCTGGTCATTGTTGGTCACACAAATTTACAGTGTGGGCAAATCACAGTCCAACCACTCCCTGCCAAAGCCTCTGCAAATTAGTAAATTTTGATCCAAACTCAGGCAGAATAAGTCCAATTCTCACCAAAAGGTCGAAACATGTTTTTTGCAGACAAATAAAGCTGCTAGACAGTATTTAAAAAAAAAAAACAATATAAAGCTTCTAAGCTAGATAACACATGGCACACATAAAAGAAGACAGAACTTAAGACAGTAGTATTATTCCTATTAACTGCCACTGTCGAAATGTGGGGGGCAAGGGAAGACAGGGAGTATTCAAAGGTGCTTGCTTCAGGCTAAGAGTATTCACGGGGTGAATATCAAAATACTGCCTTTTGCACCATAATGTTTTCATCTTGAATATTACAAGTTCAGCTACTCTAGAAAAGTACGTGTTTCGAATGATTATGGTGATTTCCAAATAGTGAATTTATATTGATTGACTTAAGTAATTTCCAAATAATAAATTCATCCCTTCACCAACAAATATCAAAGCCTGCATACAAGAAGTTCTCGTGATAACTGTAATACAAAGAAATATAATCAGCATTAGTATCTTTAATATCATGATGAGGCTTGTCATTCAACAAGGCAAGAAGCACTAGACCTATAAAATTGAAGAGATATGACAATCATTAAGGAAATTAAGTGCTAAAATAAAAGGGATAAAATGGGATTACCTGCAAGTTCTTCATTTCAGCAGAAAGCAGGTAGACCACATGCCTTAAAAACTTGAGCCACCAACTGCCACACTAAGAAGTCAACATATTTGCATTAATGTCAATAAAAACCTCGTTTGAAGAAGATTGTATCTGCAAAAAGAAGAATAATGATGGGATAGTAAGGAAAATGATTTGAAAGAGCATTGGGACAAAAAACAAATTCATCTAAGGCACAGTTGTTGATAGTTATAGCACATTTGTCGTAACAAAGACTCCTCAGTGATTGAGCACATAGCATTGCAAGTTCTCATTGAAATGTAGCGCACATAACAGCAAACAAATAAATGAATTAATACTATTCAGATTGACAGTAAGGTTACATTAAATCAACTAGCATGCATATATATATATCTATATATATAAGCTCATGTGTAAACCGTTTGACAATCATATACTATGTTCTAAAGTTTGCTGGCCCAAGAAAATATTCCTAAGTCTAACTAAATCGACCATAATGTAAATAGCAAGCACTACAGAGTTTGCTACACCATATGTACCACTTGCTATATTGTGCTGCAGAAAAGTTGTTGTGTTACACCCTGTAGAGAAGTGCAAAGGATTGTTGCCAAGGTTATTAATAACAATGACCTAATGAGCAAGTTTAACTATTTTCAACAAAATAACAATAATTCCCTTTAACAGAAGAGTAACGTTAGATTCAGATAAGAGAATCTCAGGTGGTGAAATAATGTTTGTCGGTTACATTTTTTTAGCCAAAAGACGTAGGGTTAATTCCACAATAAGATAAGTTTAAAAGGAAGAATGACAATTACTTCATAATCACCAAAATAGACCTAAACAGGGAAGGACAGCAGGTGTAATGCAAGTAAACCCAATAAACGAAACACAATAAGTTCATCTACCATGGTTTTAAGACGACTTAAATATTTCCCCAACTAAAATATTACTTAAAAGTTGTTGTTTCCGAATAGACTAAACAAAACAATATTCACTACGGCGACCATGGGGGAAAACAATCACGTAACAGCTTTTGTAGCAAAAGAAAATGGCAAACCGCGAAATAAAGTCTTTCAGTGATTAACAGAGAGTATCTCCAAAGGATTCAAATGATGGAGCAACAAAACTATCCTTCTGGAATCTCATAGAAAAAATGGGAAGTATAAATACAAATTTGAAATAGCTCAGATCTCAGTTACGAAGGATGTTCATAATTACAGCGGCCTCCTTTATCCCTCCTTTTGTCTTTTAGGAGATGAAGTAAATCTTGAACCGACCAAACAAATAGCTGTATAAGGAACTACTTCTTAAGCTTTTACAGGATACAAAATCCCAATGCCTCAGCCAGAAATCACAAGCTTATGAAGTGAAAGAGGGAAGTAAAGATCTAACAGATATCAACTCACACTCTGTTCCTGAATCACCAGCGGATAGAGATACGAACAAAATTGCTGGTTATCTCGACGAATTCAGAACCCCAACACCTTAATTACAAGAAAAATAATTTGAAACAGCATTCTTCGAAGCCCTTCGACTCGGAAAAAATGGAGAAAGGAGCAAAAGTTAGGGAACTTCAGGCGCTGACAATTGAAGCACTGGAGACTGACATTGGAGTTCGGGGAAAGTAGTGTTTGAGAAAATTCATCATCGAATCGAATAGCATTGAGGTTTAAGAGATATTTCAGCAGATGGAAAAGGATATTTACATGGGAGACGGAATAAAAATGAAAAATGGAATTCCAAGAATTACAGACGGTGAAGTTTCTTCAAACTTCAAAAGCAAACGTGAAATATATATATATATATATAGAGAGAGAGAGAGAGAGAGAGAGAGAGAGAGAGAGATAAGGACAACGAATCGAGGGGGGGGGGGGAGTAAACAAAATTGGGTTAAAATCAGAGACTCGTGTTCTTCTTGAGTCTGGGTTTCTTTGCCCCCTCTTTTTCACTTGATGTAACTGAGGTGAGAAAATGGAAGCAAAGAGTGACAGAGAGGCTCTCATTAAGAGGAAAAAGAAAAAGTTTCAAAATTTTGAAATATAAACAAATAAATCTTCCGACACGGCTCGAAGACGAAGAGCTTCATCTTCGGCTTCAGTTGCAACTTGCTCAGTCACGAGTCTGGAGTCGCAACAACGACCATTTACCGCGCCGCCAAACTGACCAACCGTCTGTTCCTTAATTTCTTCAGTGTAGCGTTTGCATTAATTTTGAAAATCACATCAACTTGTTAAAATTTTTTAAATATAAATAATAAATGATTTAAAATAAAAATAAAAAATATTTTTCACAAAAATAAACAAATTAATACTCCCTCTTATCACAATTTATAAAATATTGTTAAACAAGAGTACACATATTAATAAAATTTATTAAATGTATCTTATAATTTATTTTTTTAAATTTAAATTTAAATTTTTAAAAATATCATTTATTTAATACTCCTTTATAAAAGAATATTAAAGAGTGATTATAATAGATAGGATAATATTGAAGAATATTAATAAATTTTTATTTTTTTTTAAATTTCTTATATTTTGAAATGTAGAATATTTTTAAATGCATTTTATAGTTTGAGATGAAGATAGTATCACTGTATATCTTTATAGCTTAGTAAAAAAAATGTGCAAATACATGTCTATATAAATTTACCTAGATTAAAATATAATTAACATTAGTTTAAATATACAATAAAAAGTTATCGGAGTACATTGATTATGTCTTGATTCAAAATTTTAATATAATTAAGTGGAAAAGTGTCATTAATAAGATGAATTTTTTAATATATAATTTAATTTTAAATTTTAAAAAGACTTATATTTTAATTTTCATGGGGCCATGTAATTTAATTTAGGAAAAAAATTCAATAAATTCCTTTCTTAGGAGTGAAATTGTTTTGAGGGACCAAAATCAGTTTAAAGATCAAATGCACACCAAGCATATTACCTTGCACATTAAGCCTATCAATATGAAAATGCCATGTAATTTACATACTTATAGCCTGAATAATCCATTGTTCATGTTATTATTTTCTTATGAATCAGCAGCTTCAATATAATAGGTTGTATTTTCATGAAAGTTGTACATTCAAAAAATGCAAGGTAATAAGCTTGAGGTGCTATGTGATAAGCTTGAAATGGAAGATAATAGGTCATGTGTGCAAAATGCAAGTTGATAGGTTTTGCATGCAAATGATAAGCTTGATGTGTGTTTGATCTTTAAATTGGTCTTGATCCTTTTAAACAACCTCCTTTTCCAATAAATGATTTTATAGCAATTTTCTCTCTAATTTAAATGCTGTATTAAATGTTGTGCCATTGGCCATTGATCTCTTGAACTGCTTAATTTCAAAGCTTGAATGGGTTGAGTTTTGAGTTAAATATAGTAGAACTTAGATTATTTGAAGTAAAATATATAAGTTATTTTTAAATAAAAAGTTGACATATAATGAGATCAATACATCGCTTTATTGTGGCTTTTATTACATCTTTTATTCTTAGAACAGATAATTCAAATTTCATCCCATCATAAAATTTTGAGACATGAGTTAAAAATATATTCAATTTCATAAGCCATGCGGTCTTGATCCGACTCACTTTACAAGTAAAAAATAAATAAATAAATAAATAAAGTTTACACAAATTCAAATCAGATTCAACATCAAGGGATTTTAAACTTAACATTGTTTTTTGAGTAAATGAACAAAATTACTCCCTAAATTTTAAATCAAGTGGCACTATAAATCCTAGACTCACTTATTTTACAAATTATTCCCTCAATTTTTAAAAACGATACAATATAACTTTTGCTATTAATAAAAGTTAACTTCAATCATTAATTGATTAAATAATGATATAAAAATTACAGAAAAACACTATAAAAAAAAAGACAAGAAATGACCCAAATATTACAAAGAAGGATCCAAGAAATCACAAAAAATGACCCAAAAAATTTCATATTTTTTATCAATTAATAATTAAAGTTAATTTTTATTGATGGTATGGGTTAAATTGCACCATTTTTAAAATTTAAGAAAATAATGCAATACAATAAACAAGTTTAAGATCAATGATATTATTGAATCTAAAGTTCAAAAAATAATTTACTCATTTATATTTATTTTTAAATTTTTACAATATTTTAATCTTTGTCCTATGCGGTAATAAAATTCAATTTATAAACTTCAACTGCGGTAAAGCTTTCAAGTCTAGCCACATGCAAGGTAAGGCAAAAGCCAGTGAGCATTGAATCATTTTTTTTTTTAAATATAACTGAGTTGGGTGTTGGATTTCAAGAGATGAGGATTTATTAAGATTAAGACATGCTTGCCAAGTTTAAAAAATATTTATAAAAATATTAATAAATCGTCCACTAACAAGATCTTCACATTGATAGTGAAATTATTCTATAACCTTATAAATTTGAATTAAATCCTCGATAACTATGTCCAATATTTATTGGTAGTATTGAATTATTCTATCATGATTAATATCATTTTACAATCAACTACTAAAAATCGAGCAGTTGAAAACTTCTTCTAGGCATTCATTTTAACAACAAAGTGCAAAACCATTCCTCATCTCCACGTGAGGATGATGATCAAAGACAATACAGACTAATTTAGTTATAGAGCTATTTAATTAAAAATTATCATGCTAGCTGTATTTTTGAATGGTTAAGATAATAAAGTTTGTTTGGCATTGTGAAGTTTTCAAATTTCAAGTTGATAATTTGTAAATGAAATTTACCCTTTTAAAAGAAAAGAAAGAAGATTTTTATGTTTAATAAAAGTAATAAAATGAGTGGAAATGCTCGAAGAATAAAACTTTAAATAAATTTATGAATCTTTATTTCTTTGCAGGGTAAAAGGTCATGGCTAAATTGTGGAAGGAAAAAAAACCAGCCAGGTGCATAAGGTTCATTAATAATCAATGATTTAAAAACTGAATCAGACTGAATGATCGGATCTATCCATATTTAAATTCAATCAACATATAAAAATCATTTTTAGGGTTGAGCCAAGTTGAATTATTTTGGACCGACGATTGGATTAAGAATCGAAATCAAGCCAAGAACTAAATTCAGTTTTAAAAAACAAACTATTCAAAAAAAATATGTTTTTAAAATTTTTTATTTTTTTACAAAATGATTAATTTTTTAATCATTGATATATATGTATCATGTGACTTATTAAGTCATGATAACTTAAAATATTTGATTTTATTTTTAAATAAACAGCCATTTTATATTTATTTTTATATTTCTATTATTATATATATGTATAGTTTTTTAATTTAATTATTACATTATCAATTTAATTATTATCTAACTTAATAAATATATAAATTATAAACTGTTGACCTTCCCGTTAACATTTGTTGGTTTTAAAAACATGTTAATCATACACTATTCCTGAAAAAGGAAATTCCTGCACCATGAACATGTAAGAGATTGTCCAAAACCTTGTTTCGTACTATGCGTACCTGGCGAACGAGCCCGTCAACATAATTATTGGATTCTGTGATCTTCTAAACAATTAAACAATTGCGATAATCCAATCACACTGGTGAGTTCTTTACTTCTCTGGATCAAGTTGGACAAAGGAGGAGTGAAAAAGTAATCGCCATGAATAAATCTCTGAGCTTATAAAAAATCATTATAATTATATATTTAAGAATTCATTAAAACTTGAAAAAATATTATTATTATCGCAATTACTTCATTTCATTTTTATTGTATAGCATTTATAGAAGATTTTTTTTATTCTAACATAAATACTTAATATTATTAATTATGTTTTTTTAACATTATTCCTATTTAAACTCATTTATTATGAGAAAGAATGTAATGCAATTTTATAATTTTTCATTTAAATAAGAGGAAATTAAAAGTTTATTCTATTTTTAATAGTTAATAATTAACCATCTCTTTTTAATTCAATAAGATAATTATGTGTGTCTTATAATCAGACAATAAGGAGCATGTCTTTACACGTAACTTGCCCTCTTTAATCTATAGAGCCATCAATATGAAGCATGCTTTAACCTTCCGTCCACAAGTGAGCCTCTCTTATGTGAATGTTGCTGCACTACTTTCAGTGGTATTCTTTAAGATTGGAGCATAACATCACAATCTCAAGCTTGTTTGGGATGAGGTATGGGAGGTTGGAATTGGAATGAATATTGAGATGCCCAACTTTTCCATATTTTTTACAAGCGATTTATACTCCAATCTCAACCCTAACATAGTACCTCTCATGGTATTGAAAAATAATTATTGGATTGATTTTATGAAGACACAAATGGCCTCGTCTTTAACCTTTCCATTCTATGACCATCCAAATCTACCTTTGTCCCAACCTTTCTTGGTCCTACCTTCATCCAACCTTCCGTGCTATTTGTCCTCGTTCCTTGTTCATATCTACCTTCATCACTCCCCTTCCTTCTTAGTGACAGTGAGCCACCCTCCATTGACAATAGCAAAGGTGAGATCAAGATGACAACCATGTACATCAAAGAACGATTAACTATGCAAGGAGGTGAAAGAGATTGGAAGGAGGAGGTGCATATTTGATCTCTCTGAGTGGAGAACAAAAATCATTAATCTATTGACGATAAAATACTAACCATTGATGTTACCAATTAGTGATCTATTGAGTGCAGAATGATAGTTGTTAATGCACTGACCATAAAGATTCATGTGATGCATTCCAACCTTTCAAATCTATGTGCGCCTTCATCTTTAAAATTTTTAATATCACTTATCTTTAATATCTAAGGTGTCACCATGAACTAGAGGGGA